GTGTTGTAGCACTATCCAGAAGACATATATCATCTTTATTAATCTTGAGTCCAACCGAAGACTAGGGATTTTTCATATTCTTCATAAAAAAAACAAAAAATACATCATAAGAAATATGAAAGAAAAACATAAAAAAATATTANNTTTTTTTTTTTCTGAGGGAGGCTTAATAAAGTTTGACAAAATGATCTGGCGTACGAGAAATGCGTGCCCAATGACCATTCATACCACATCGGTGACACATACTAGTTTTACCTTTTGAATGATTAATTTGAGAACCCTTATTGTTCTCCAATTTATTTCCACCATAATGACGATAATTGTTTCGTCCCCTGCCACGTCCATGTTTACGACCATGCCCACGACCACGGTAATTATTTTGTTTTCTTTCAAACTTATCATATGCTGCTACAACATTCACTTCCGGAAATAGAGCTGACCCAGTGGGACGGGCTTTATGATTTTTCATTAATAGAGGGATTATTCTGCTCTTCCACAAGTAGGCATGTGATTAACTCAGAATATTTCGTAAAACCTTTTTCACGGTATTGTTGTTGTAGCACCACATTTGAAGTGTGAAAAGTAGAAAATATTTTTTCCAACAAGTCCTCATCTGTGATAGTGTCTCCACATAATTTTAATAGACAACTTACTTTAAAGATAACAGAATTATACTCACTTACGGTTTTAAAGTCTTGCAGCCTTAAATGTATCCACTCATACCAAGCTTTCGGTAATACCGTAAGTTTTAGCTGGTCATACCGATCCTTCAAATTAATCCATAATTCAAGTGGATCTTTTACGGTTAAATATTCAGTTTTTAACCCTTCATGTAGATGATGACGAAGGAAAATCATGACCTTCGCTTTATCCTGATTTGATGCTTCATTTCCTTGTATAATAGTATTTCCAAGACCTTTAGCGTCAAGTTGAATTTCAGCATCAAGGACCTATGATAAATAGTTCCTCCAGGTGATGTCAAGTGCCACAAATTCAAGTTTTGATAAATTTGACATAGTGAAAACTATCATAAAAGATGAATAAGTTAGAGAAATAATTATAACAATAAACAATTAATGAAAACAAAACGATTAAGGTAAAAAAAAATGAAAATAGAGTTATATCATGTTAACAATCTACTANAGATGAATAAGTTAGAGAAATAATTATAATAATAAACAATTAATGAAAACAAAACGATTAAGGTAAAAAAAATGAAAATAGAGCTATATCATGTTAACAATCTACTATTTCATTTTATTCTTGCCATAAAGTAGAAATTACATACTTGTTTCATTTCACTTTATATTATTGATATATATGTGTTAATAGAATTGAACGTGACTAACATTATTTATATGTTCCAATAAATATAAAGTAATTAAACTATAAAATTATTGCTTGTCAATTCATTTCTCACATTTCTTCAAAATGCCTTAAAGATATGTTTTGATCCAGAAAGTCCATGAATATTATAAGTATGTCATTAGTGCATAGCTAGTTTGATGACTTTGAGGTCCTCTAAGAGTTGAACACGGAAGGAAATAATTATTTTATCACTGCAATATACTTAAACTATTTAAGATGCCCAAGAGCACAAGTAATCTACAAACAATGAGCATATGATATGTACTGCCATAAATAAAATGATTATAATGATACATACCTTAATAAAATATGGCTCAACTTAGCGGGAGTTAAGAATAAAATTAGAGCTTCGTGCTGATAACGTGTTATAAAATAAAAGCAATGCAGTAAAATGTAAATAAGAAGAGATAAAAAGAAGGAAGAAGTCTTTTCTTCTTTCACTTTGGTGTATCTTTCCATTGCAATTACATAGTCTTTTATAGGCATAAAAAGTAAAGATGATGAACATAAAGTAGGAGCTTTAATCTTTAAATTATTCACAACATGAACATTCAATGTACAAACTATGATATTCACAACATGAGCATCCAATTTAGCATCCAATGTACTAATTATTTATAACATAGCTCAATATATTATTTATAGCCAAGCCGAAAAAAGACAAACTCAAACTAAACACGCTCTTCGAAAATTGTGATAGCTCCTTCTTTTTAGGGAAAAAATTCAATAATATATATTAAGCTAGCGTTTGGACATAAATTTAGTTAAAAATTAAAAAAATAAGTTTTTGACTATAAGATTAAAAATAATTTTTGAAAATTAAAATTATATTTGAACATACATTTTACTTGAAAAGCGAAAACTAACTTTAGGTGCCATTTCTACATACCAGTAAAGAAAAGGACATGACTCCTCGATTTACTCTTTCAACAACAAAGCCACCTACACGCCAACAAAACATTTACAACACTATAACAATAACCCGTTAAATGTCATTTAAGTATTTGTTTATGTTTTATTAGTGGATCATTTTTCGCATCATTTTCCATTTTCAACTATGAAAACAATTCAGAGTGATATCCTATTTCTTAAACTTCTATAATTATTCCTACTATATTTTTTAATATGAAATCCCCCCCCCCCCCC